GATCTTGCATCACGCTCGCTTTGACAACACAGCAAACACAACTCAAGAGCAATGTTCGCCCTCATTTTCAAAAATCTCGCAGCCAGCGAATGCCGCAGCGCCGATGCACAAAAGTGAGCTTGCTGCGGCCGCACACACGATGGGCTATAACCTTTCGGCAACGACTACTTTGTGCATATCATATTATAATGGATATATTCATTCTTTTTAATCGCATCTCTCAATTTCTGATGCTATGACCCGTGATGAGCTGTAGCATCACACATGCCATTCAAAACCGAAACATTTTAATCTACCGACTTTGTGCCTCGTAAAATGTTTTACTTTCTGGGTCCTGACATAAAATGGCCATCGGTGTAAGATGCCTTCGCTATTCTTGTTGCTCAGACAATCTGAGCTTGTGTCCAAACTTGTAAATTTGTTGAATACAAATATTCACAAGCTAAATCTAGAAAGTTGTGGTTTCTATTATAATAATTTAATCATTTCTGACGAATATCAATTTTAAAGCGGTAGCTTTACGGGCAACACTTTTCAGAGATTTCGACCTCGTGGGCCATCATCGCTACGCTAGCGAAGAAGGAAAAAGCCCTTCTCTGCCGTCTTGGCGCGAGGAGAGAGATGTCAGGACTTTCCGTCGGTTCTGCCGTGCGAAGAGAGTGAGGAGGGTTGCCCTGGCGTCCCGCCAAGAATTGCACAATGAAGGGAGAATCGTAGTGCCGTCTGCTTTAAAGACTTGTTTTCAAACATTACTCGCGTTGCACGAAATCCCAGTTTGGCAGTATCCAGTTGCTATGTGTAATGTTGGATGGTTTTAGAAACTTCCACCACACTTACCTGCTTACTTCACCGATTATCGAGCACTGGTGGCGGCCGTCGGTGACATCCATGACGGCTATGAGAATTAACTATGTCGCACATCCGTATTCGGGTACAGTACAAGACAGCACCATTACACCTGCATTGCGCGACCATGCTAAAGCTACCGCTTTCGTTTCTTTGCACATTGTGGTTGAAAAGTATGACTTTTTAATATGTGTTCACTAATTTGTATGAATAAACTATGACCTAGTGGTGTAAGCGCAAGTCTTTTTTTGTTTTTTCAGTATCCATAATCCTCCACCCCTAGCTACTAAGAGCCTAATTGGGATATCCACTCGATATATGAGGGGGTCATGGGACCTTGTTAAATTTACCTTCAGCATTTGTTTTGTTACATTCAAAGATTGGGGTGCTTAATCTGCTTGGGCGTCCACACGCGCACATATGTGTATAGAATTTTTTAATTACCTAGGTGCTGAATCTTCCCCCCTCCCCCCTGTTATTTACTCGTAAAAGTGTATTCATGCTAAAAAGAAAAAAAGCGTGCCTCGTAAATGTCTGTGACGTGTGCCAGTTGACAAATAACATTATATAGGAATAATAACTATAATATGTAAATACTATTGGCTAGTAAAAAAAACCTCCGGCACGTGCCGCATTTTTGGGTGCAGCTGCAGTATTCTGACTATCCTCAATGGCCCCCTTTAGAACGACTCACGGGGTGCCGGCTATTTTTGTTATTTACCGTTACTTTGGGCAGATGCCGTGCTAAAAAAATGACAAAATCCACCCCCTAATTTTCCAGAGAAAAAATATTTTCTTCGCATCACAAAATGGGACATCACAAACGTGTGGTTCTATAACCCAGTAGAGTTGCCTGAAAATGACAATATAAATTCGATGATTTCTCAAATTGGTTTAATACTGCCACGAAGTAGTAGTTTACCAACAGAGGACAAAGTAAAAAGGTAGATGGGTGGATGTATTTCGACTTACCGTAAAATACCGCAGAAGCGCCCACTTCATTCAAGCGCCCACTATTAACATTTCTAAAACTTGGGAATTTTGCAAATTATACGTTAGCGCCCGATTTGATCGGACAGACGTCCATGTGTAGATTAACCCAGTTTTCAGTAAATGCGGGGTCGGCGCTGCCCCGGTATTTTACAATATCTATCCCAGTTTAACCGTCGAACATTGAATGGAGAAACTTTAAGCGAAGACACCATCTTCTAAATTCCAACAGCTCTCAGTTTGGTTGCGGTTTCATAGCAGTGACACTTTCTCTTTAATTGTATAATTTTGTTTAACTAATCTAGCCGCCTTATTTTGCACTTTCTCTTTTTTTTTTTCTCTACTAGATAGTACTCAATGGGCAATTTGTTTCAGCAGGATTTAAAATATAGGTTTCTAAACTATGCATTAATAGTGAATAGGATATTTCAGAATCAGACTATGTGATTACCCCACCGAGTGAGCCTGTTCTCCGAACTTTATTAGCGAAAGCATGAAGCCACGAAAGGAGGTTGGAAAGCCATCGTTGTTGCCGTTACGTACGAGCGCATTTATGGCGCCTGGCACGTGCCTGCGACTGGTGCGTTTACCACATCCTCACCTGGCCCCCTCGGTTTCTAGGTGTAATGGTGTGGATCGCCGTGTAATGGGTGTTGATTGCCGTGATCTTGGCAGTGGCACAGTTGCAGAGGTGGATGCAGTAGAAGCGTGTTTCTTTGCAGCTCGCTTTGTAGTCAGCCAGCTAGTTAATAGAAACTCGAGCAGCCACGGGTTGGGGCGCTGCAATGCCTCTATCAGATTGTCTTTTTCGATGGAGGTTCTACCTTTTTTGCTGGGGGTTCTACCTTTTTTGTTGGAGGTTCTACACCTGGCCGACAGGATTGCAGCAACCCATCGCATTACCCGAAAACCCCTGCAATTTATTTTGCTACCATTTTGGGGGTGCTCTGACACATGGGCATTGTGGAACACTAAACACGCTGGTCGGAGATGCGCTCCAGACACCCTAGTGCAGTGCAGACTTGTACCGTACCCATTACAAGTAATCAAATTACTTGTAATCGATTACTTTTTGGAGTAATTTTGTAATCAGTTGATTACTTTTATTAGGCAGTAATCACAAGAGTAATATGATTACCCCCCCCCCCCAAGCATACGCCTTTTTTGTGAAAGGACAAAAATAATATTTCCTTTTTTTCCCTTTTTTTTTGAACGGAAAAAAGAAAGATTTTTGCGGAGCTGTAGGAAACGAGGGCAATCTCTTTCTATGTACAGTTTCTGTGGAATGTCCGTTTCTTTTTTTTTTTGTTTTTTTTTCGAGCTGGGACTGGTAGTGGGAAGCCCCAGGAAAGCCACAGTGCATGGCAAAGGCCATTCAGGGCGAAGTTCGAGGAAGCAGGATGTAGCGTTGTGAGACCTTCGTTCAAACTAGTCCCCTCACGCACATACACACAGAAATAAAAACAAAATAAAAACATCCTGCTTAGGGTACCTACTCGCAGCCCGTAGGAGAACCAGAACCGAAGAATGCCTAAAGCGGATGCAAAATATAACAAGGCAGTTGAAATATTTCCCCATTTCTCCTACGTGGTCTTTTGTGACAAGCAATGTTTCGAGTTGAGCAGTGGTCGGGGCGATCTCTTCCGCTAATAGATGCTACACATGATCCGTTTCAAATCCTGGAGCTGCTGCTCTTTTGTACAACATGCGAGCTCATTCACATGTGAATAATAAAATGAGCGACGCAAACTTTGAGCGACAACCCTTGCTCAAGCTTAACAAGATCTAGAACCCCCTCCGCTCCCCCCCCCCCCCCCCCCCCCCCCCCCCCCACACACACACACTGGCGAACGCCCAAATCATTAAACGTCATCAAACGAATTCTATGCTTGTGTCCGCATTGTGAAGGTGCAACGACCACAAAGAGGGAGCCAGTTTTTCTTCTTCAATACTTGTGCAAATGTGAAATATAGGTTGGAAGTAGTTCATTGTTATGAGCGCTAAAGATGTGTCTTCACACAATAAAGTAATCAGAAAAGTAACGATTACTTCTTTAAGTAATGTCCAATTAGTTTTGCCGTCGAGTAATCAAGTAATCTAATCGAATACTTTTTGGCCAAGAGTAATAGTAATTGTAATCGATTACTTTTTTTTAGTAACGTGTACAAGACTGGTGCAGTGTGATATATTAATGATGGGGTTGACTCACAAAAGAGCTAGGCAAGGAATTTGTGGACGGAGAAACCAAGCTGCATTTTAAACTTGTAAAAAGGTGAAAATGTGTTCCTGCTGCGAACCAGAAAAGAACAAGACCTAGCGAAGTAAATTTAAAAAGACAAAGTAATTCAGTGCAAACACTCTGCTCTCTGATTATTAATGCAAAAGCATTAACCGTCCCACGGAGCGCAGTCGGCGTTGTCTGTAACCGCGAAAGACAGCACCTAAATTTTGGCTGAGTGAAAAAATCACCTCAATCCCGGCTGAGTGAAACGAGCAATAAATTCCCCATTGGCTGCGACGCGTCATAGTTCCAAATAACGCAACCCCACAAAGAAGCCTTCTTCCTGGCGCTGTGGCCCGCACGTCGTAAAAAGAGAGAGAGTGGCGCGCACGCAGCCACAGAGGCCCTGCCAGTCTCTGCGGAGGACAGCGGGGCACGCTGCTTGTAGAATCGCGCTGTGTGTATGAATGCCTTTGCACTCCTACACATAAGCAGCCTTAAGTGCCCTCCTGTAATTTCTTTTGGGAAAAGTTGTGAAGCGAGCACCCTTGAAATCTTTAGAGAACCTCCGTGAAATTTGAGAGCAACCAAAATTGGGAGCAGGCAGTAGCCCCAGGTTTGCTGATATGTTTAATCCCACGATGAATTTAATCCGAGACTGGGGCAGAAGGAGGAAAATAAATTTGACAGTTGTAGCTGTCCCTATTCCTTTTTCTACCACTGTCAAACATTTTTCCTCCTGCCCCAGTTTCAGTTTAAATTCATTGTGGTAGACTTCTTTCTACCAGCTTGCCTGCACACAGACTGTATTTTGCTCATTTAATCCCTCCTCACCCTAAAAAGCTAGGAGTATTCAACTCTTGATGGGTTCGCATCAGCTGTGCGACTCGAGTGATTCTTCAACAAAGCCTAAACTGCACGCATTAATTTTGTCTCCTCGCAGTCATGGGGAGCTTGGACATGGAACGCTGGACCCCGAGTCCACACCCAGACCAATAGAAGGACTTGAAGGCATTGTCATAAGGGAGGTGTCTGCCGGTGGCTGGCATTCAGCTGCCATCAGTGGTGAGTGTTGCCTGGTCTCTCTGGTTTGGGTGCACTGGCAAGTTAAATTACCGTAAGACGTGTGGGCAGTGGCAACGTTGAATGTACAATCGCGGGCAATATGAAAAAGCCCAGGCGAGCGCGTAGCTTACAAGGCCTGCCGCACTATCTTTAAAAAAAAAGCTCAACCAGTATCGAGGCTTCAGCAGCTGTTAAATTTTTGACGTTGCTCCCCATTTGATTAGGTGTTGCTGAGTTAATGCTGATTCAGCACCTAATGTATAGGCGTTTTGTGACAGAGGGCAATATCAAGCGTGGCTGAAACCATTGGGTCAGCAGGTTGAGTTATCAGTTTTCGGGCGTTAGAAGTTCATGCGACAAGCGACATGAGCGTTTTTTTTTTTTTATTTCGTTTTACCGAGCAGTACTGCTATCGGCTGCAGCTTCGGTTATAATTTACAAAATTACTCAATAGCATTCATCACCAGCTCTAGGAACCAATTTTATAGGAGGTATTTGATGAAACCAGAATGCAGAAGCATTTGTGGCTCAAGATTAAAAACCTCTCTTTACTTACAGGCCAACGCTCACTGTGTGCACGCGTTCAACCTTCAAAGCACACAGCTATGACCACCAGTGTCGTAGCTGTGTAGGTTTGAAGGGGACGTTAGAAAACGCTTGATAAGCATTTTGCGCGACCTTACTGGCTTACTCTTTTCGTGATATTTCAGTCACTGACGACCTGTACCTCTGGGGATGGAACGAAAGCGGTCAGCTTGCACTACCCTGTCCCGACGGGCAGCCCGAGTTGTACAGGGAAGCCCGAGTAGTCGTAGTCAGGCCAATCCCCCACTTGGTGGCATCGCTCACCGACGTGCTGACGGCCAGCTGTGGATCGCGGCACACGGCTGCTGTCGCAGGTACCTGGTCTCGGGCTTTCCTTTTCTCATTTTTGACGGTTGTTGCGCTGCTTTCATTGTTTTTGTGGGCCACTTCTGAGGTTCATGAAAACCTGTTTATGAGCGGCGAGGGAGAAGGAAAGTGACACGGGCCAAAGGAGAGGGCAAACTTTAGAGTGGACGCGATTGTGTTCACTCTAAAAAAGGGTATGACACTACAGGAGGGCGCTTCTGCGGCACTTTTTTCCCGTGTCAGTGACTTCTCTCCATTTTAAAACTTCTTGGGGCGGACAGAATAAGTTGGCCCAGAGTTGATAACCCTGAGCCATTCGGGGCTTCTCATTGGGCTGTGCCTAAGGGTAACGTTACTGGGGCTATGTCTTGCATAGGATCGGTGCTACCGGTTGTCACTGACCTGGGCCGATGTGCCTTGGGAAAAGTGACTTTCCATCCTCCCATTTGTTAAAGCAGCCCACTGCAAAGCAGAATGCCAAATTCTGCTAACTTACACTGAGTGTATAAAACTCAAAGGGTCACATTTAGTAGCTCGCCAGCAGTGCCTGCAAGACTCTGTGCAGCAGAATGCATGTAAATTATCATATGACACAGATCTTTTGCAGTGTGTTAACTTGGCAGCCAGCATTAGTTACCGTGGAATCATAAATTGAGATTGTGATGAGCTAATTGGCCCTTTTCTTAACTTTTACTATTTTTTAGTCATAGACTAACACTCTAGCAAAATGTAAACATTATTCGAAAGTGACTCATTAACAAGATGCCATTATACACCAAGAGACAGCTCTTGCTACTTATGAATGAATTAGAAAACTAGGCGATGTCAACTATAATTAAAAACATTCTACTTGAATATTTTATTGGAGTCTACAAATAGCTGCATTTTAAGACCTTCTGCAATTATAATTATCACCAGCATCATGTAGAGACTCTACAAACAAAATAAAGCTTTTGCACTTTGTGGACCCTTCTGGGGAGAAATTGGGCGAGTGCCTTTGGGATGCCACTCAATAGCCTGCTCAACGTCCACCGCATAGACAGAGGACTGGGTTGGCAAGTTCCCCGAGCTGTTTGCAGAGGGCACCCTTTGTGGTGTCAGGGCCAGGATAAGAGTACTGGAAGAAGCAAGGCCAAGGTTTCTCAGACGTTTCATGCTCCAGGATCTGGTGGCACAAGACCCTCAGCGGTTGCAACACGAAGCCACCTTGAGTCCGGTGCGCACATCGGAGTGGTGGCACCGTTGGTTCCAGTTTTAAAGAAGGATGGGAAGATCCAACTGTGTGGGGACTGGTTGCAGTGAGCCAGGCTGCGCACATCGAGACTTATCCAGTGCCGCGGGTGGAGGAAATCTGGACCAAGCTGGCAGGAGGCATGAAATTTTCCAAGTCGGATCTCCGGAACACTTATTATCAGAAGATGGAGCTGGATGATGCATCGAAAAATTATGTGACAACCAGCACTCAGCGAGGACTCTTCTAATATAACCGGCTGCCGTTTGGGGTGGCTTCTGCACCTGCAGTGTTTTAACAGGAAATGTAAAACCTGCTACAAATTTGTCTCAAGGTCGTTGTCTACTTCAACTACCGTATAAACTGGAATATGGGTTGAACCGGAATATAGGTTGAACCCCTAATTCACAAGTTGCAAAAAGCGAAACAAAGTTTTTATGTCAAGAAAATGCAGCCTTACCTTGGTAACAAAATTGGCCAAGTATACGGAAGGATGAGAAAACACGGCACATTTATTTAATTGCTTCGCATGCAATAAAACAGAAAGTGCACGAGCGTTACTACTCAGATTCTTCAGAACATTCGTACGACGATGGGTTCACTAACGCAATTCAAAGGGACGATGCCGTCCCTTTGAATCGCCCCCTCGAGAGCCCGGAGGTAGAGGAGTGCAACTTCCTTTACCGCCCAGGGAACACGATATGGTAAACCCTGGGAGTCCGCAGCGCCTTTTGAATCCCCTGGTATCCGGAGGCTGTATGAAAATCAACATGGCGGCACAGCGAAACCGAAACCGGTTATCCATCCACCGCCCATCCATCCAAGCCAGTGTGCTTGGATGGATGGGCGGTAGCTTGCGCCACCTACCGTAAAATACCGGGCAAGCGCCCACTTAAAATTTAGAGATAATCGCGAAAAAATGAGGAATGGGCGCTTGTCTGGTCATCAATTTTACTTATAAATGTACTGTGCATATTTTCTCAGATCTTAGAAATTTGGATATGGGTGCTTAATGTGGAATGGACGGATGTGCGGTATTCTACACTAAATTAAAAATAAATATTGTACCTTTTCTTTTTTTTTGCCCGGTTTGCGTGTTGCTTTGCTAGGCTACTGCTGCTTTGCGGCTGGTTTTCGCGTTTCAGTGCTGGTTAATGTGCTTTGAAACGCACACAAGCCAGCATTGAAACGCGAGACCAGCAGCAAAGCAGCAGAAAACTAGCAAAGCAACGAAAGTGACACATACACAAAAAAATATGCAATGCTTGTTCTTTTGCATTCATTTTTATTCAACAGGCAGTAGAATATACAAAAGAAATTTCTCACTATTTTGCGCTGAAGAATCAAAGAAATTAACTACAAAACAGGATAAAACTTTAAGGTTGCGTGCGATGAAGGTGATTATACGCATCCTTGCAGAAACGCTTTGCTAAATTTGCATAAAATCTCAGTAGGTTTGTGATCCTTCTGAAGCTTCTTGGCGTGTGCTCACAAGCCTTGTGCCGTTCAGCCACAGGCGTGGAACCTAGAAAAAAAAAAAGTTGAATTACTTCCTTGATTGGCTTTTACGTGGCTGGCATGGTCATATGAAAACGGTGAGCATGTTCTGTACCTCCTTTCAAAAACGGTACTTCAAGTTCAACACTGCGACACTAAATACTCGTGTCTCCTCTGTTTTTAATTCTCCTTGAGTCAAATGCCTCTACGCTAAATTGACAATCATTTCGAATTTGATTATATGAGTAAGCACAAGTAAAAACCGACGACGGTGTCTTGCAAGGAAACTAAGCATTCAGGTTAAGAAAAGCAGAAGCTCAGCTCTTCAATATTGAGTCTTCATCGAGAACCTGCATTATTTTTTAATATTATCACTTAAATTTAGGAGTGTGTCACTGCTAAACGAAACAGGAAACCAGTGGGGATTGCTCCATCGCTCATCCTCAGTTAATCGGAAAATATTTAGGCTCATTTTCCCTCCTCGCGAACAGACGCGTGAATCGCTGACAACAATCCCAAATAAACAGCCACGGCAAAACGTTTACCATCTTTTGAAGTGAGCATATGTGGTCGATCTTGATATTACATAAAAGTTGCCAGTTATTTGACAATGGCATGTTTCTCGCGGCGAGTGAAGAGGAATCATAAACAATGATAGGATTTGGTTTTGTGATTTGAAACCATCGCAGGGTGATATCAGATAAGATCCACCAAAGGGTGGCTGGTCGACATTTTCAATTCAACTGATGTTTTTATATACCATTGTCTAGTGTCTGGTATAAACGAATCCACACTTAGTTTTGACCAGAAAAAATATTTGGGGACAGGAAAAATCGGAAAGCATGAAGAGGTGGACAGTTCCTTTAACGCACACTGATGGAGGGGGCATGTTTGAAACTGAATAACTAAAAGGATAATGTTAGAATTCTAATACTTTTTAAAAACAAGCTATGGGTACAGCTTGCTTGTAATATAAAGTAATAATATTTATGTAAATTTTATTTAATTTTCTAAAAATTGCCAAACATGCCTGCTCGAACGACAAATGGCAAAATTTGGAGGCCTGTATCTCATGAAATAATTCAATTATTATCATATATTTTGCGGGTAGTATTTTATTCATATATGTCTATTATTTAAAAGATAAATAAGGTATTTGAGTGATACGATAGTCGGGATATATTTAGGCAAACATGGAAAAAAAATCAAACGAAAAATTCCGATGCAAATAAAAAAAAAAAACACCACCTTAGATTTTTTTTAAATTTGGGTACCCTGTCGTACTCTATTTCGGCATTCATTTCTATTAAAACATGTTGCATCATTTTATTGAGAAAGAAGACACAGCTTCCCAAAGTAGGGTCCTTTTTCAAAGGCTACACTTAGCAGTGCCCCATACAAGAAGTGTCTCTAAGTTACAGTTTCAGGAAACTAACACACATCTTTCATATATTTTTATTCATATGAGGTCACTGACAACTAGAGCAATCGGTCACACACTAAAACTGATGAGAAACTACTGTGTACAGAGAGCTATCATATTATGAAGTAGTGATCCGAGAAAAAGATCCTGCCGGCCATCGGCCACTGGGAACTTTGTTTACTTTATTTTTGTACGGCACTATATGCTTCTCTCTCTTACCCTCAACCTCCATCTCTCTCTCTTATATATATCCCTGACTTATATCTAGAATAAAAGCATATTCAAGCATTGCCTTTCTGCGTGATAGTGTTCTGTGGCTAGCAACAATCATTTCCTTGCGAAGATCACAACTATGGCGCAGTAGTTGACGGAAGTAGCAGGCGACACTCGTCGCTAGTTCTGGCAAAACGGCCGATACAATCTTTTTTCGCATATCCCCGCTCGCTGTCAAGGATGAGGGGGTTCGCTTTAACCAGAAAAATATGGCCGCCGATGCCTGTTTACTGAGCGGCCGTGCCTGTCGCCATCCCACTCGCTGGCTTCGCGGGCGATATCAGGCACAAAGAGGCACACCGACAGAGAGCAGAACCCCGAAATACTCGAGTTCTGCCTAAATACAATAGAGTGTAAACACTGTCGCCATGTTAACCTAGGAAAGGTTAACCTAGGAAAGGTTTTAGGTAAGGAAAAGCATGGCGTATGGTATGAGCCAGATCCTCACACGAGGTGCAAGGTGAGCCCTGAGAACCTGTCTGCTGTCCTAGAGTACTTCACGAAAGACGAGCTACAATGTTCACGCCAAAGTCCCAATCAGAAGGATGTGATCTCTGTCATGTTCGACGGGGAGATAACGTTTG